CAAGGGATTGATGCAAGGCAAAGAGTTGCTGAGGTTTGTTAAAGAAATAAAGGCACCTGAGGGGAGAGCTGGTTGTCACATGCCTCCCAAACACCCAGATCACAATCTTGGATCACAAGCCTTTTAAAAGCCTTTTTTGAATACTTGTCTCTGAGTTTATCTCAGAGACGTTTTCACCCACTTTATCCTGCTGCCTTCTCTGAAAGGCAGCAAGGGCAGAGAAACAGAGCCCTCCGGCCACCAAAATCCATGAGCTACCCATCAGGTGGGTCAGGAAAGCACAGCTTATTTCATTCCTGCGGGGCAAAACTCCCCAATTTTATGCTTTGGCCTTCCTAATTAGAGCCAAACAATTTGCAAGGCGATTTCTGTCCCCCCAGCCCAGGCAGCCCTCGCTCACCTCCTGCCTCCAGCCGCCATTGGGGAGCTCGGGGGGCTCGGCACCAGGGGCCACAGTCCTGCGGGACGCCAGCCTGCGCCGCACCTGCCTCACGGCCCTGCTGAGCTGCCAGAGGGGAAGGAAACACAGCACAGCACAAGTTCAGCTGCAGGCAGAGATCTTCCAATCACTCGGGAAAGACAGCACAGCACAAGTTCAGCTGCATGCAGAGATCTCCCAATCGCTCTGCTCCAGCTGAGGGGGTTGGTCAAGGTGGCACCCAACACCCAACACACAATCAGCCAGGAGGGGTCTTTCAGAGCTGCCCCAAGGTGCTGAACTCAGCACTCATCTGCTCCTAAAACACGCTGCTGAGATGCCACATCCCCAACTTTCCTGCTTGGTGTCCAGCCAGAAGTGATTTTCCACCCTAAGGTACTTCAACTGGAATCCACGCCACAGTGCTTCAAATGGAATAACTCCAGCTCCTAGGTGAGCACACAGGCTTTATAAACCACCAAATGCAGCAGAAGCATCACTATTAAAAAAAAAGCTTAAAACAGTCCTCAAGGCAGGTTTTCCCAGATTTTGGTCTGCAGGAGACAAGCTGCAATGAGCTGGCACCACCTAGTGCCACCTCTGCGTCAGGACACGGCTGAGTTCAGCTACAGCATCAGAGGAGGAGGCACCTGTGACCCGGTTGGATGCTCTGAGGAGCAACATTCAGGGTGAAAATGGGAGCTAATGTTTCATTCGATACTAAAACCAAAATACTAGGGACGTGCTGTAAAAGAAAAAAGATATATTGCCTGTTCTCAAATTCAAACGCCGAGGACCCAGGGTGCTGAAGCAGGGCTGGGAAGGCAGGAGGGGCACGGCTCACCTCGGCAGCTTGCTGCTGGAATGGCTCGCCGTGTGTCCCCTCCCACCGGGCCGGGCTGGAGCCAGCAGCGGGACCACAGATGATGGGAGGGCGGTGGCTCCGGAACGGACACGCCTTCCTCCAGGAGGTCCAGTACTGCACGGCAAAACAGCTCTCCCGCTCCGCCTGCCGGAAAAAAGCCACGTGGGATCTCCAACCATCACCTGGAAGGACGTCAACCTTGGTGACATTTCACCACCCACAGGTGGCATTCCTTGGGATGGAGGTTTTGGCTTTCCATGCTGAGAGAGCACAAAGAACCATCAGGCTCTTGGGGGCTGAGGGCATTTGCGGGCTTCCCGCTTGGAGCTGGCGGAGTTACATGAGGACATCCCCACTCAGCCATGGAAACAGCCCAAACACCCCAGGGGCAGCCAAAGCTGGTGACATTTCAGTGCATTCCCTTCTGTGCCACAGTCAGATCCTGGCAAGTCCTCTCAGCACTTGTTTGACAGTAGAAAGGATTAAATATATTCATGGGATAATCCAAAACAAGCCCATGGGGGAAAAGGGAATTTGGAGACAGCAGGAAAGTGTTGCTTGAAAACTATTTGGCTGCTTTGGAAAAGGGATTGGAAAAGAGACAGCAGAAAAGCTGTTTTCCTTCAAACACAGCCAGGAGACGTTCACATCATTCCCAGCTCTGGCCTGGATGCTTTTTAACTCCAGGCAATTCCACACAGGGCTCTGGGATTCTGTTCTGCTGCTGCCCGAGGGAGCCAGTGACCTTTCTGTGGGGAGGCTTCAAGCACCTTCAGCCCCAGCCAAGGTGTCATGCTGACCCAGCCTGCCAGGACACCGTTTGCTGCCACAGGGTCTGGGACCTCAGATTTTCTCTTTTTTTTTTTTTTTCCTCATTAACACCTTGACTTGAGCTCCAGTGTTAGGAATCTTCCCAGTTTAGGCTGGGTTTTGGAGGAGTTTCTCCTGACAGAGCCCTGCTTACCGCTTCGTGGGACTTCTGCAGCTCCTGCCACCGGCGCATCCTGACCTGCCGGTTCACCCGCTGCCTCACCTCGCCCTGGAACCTCCTGAGGTTGGCTGCCTTCTGCCGCTGCTGCTCCTTCAGCTCCTCCTCCACCTGGAATACTGAGGCCTGCAAGAGACAGAAGCAGATTCCACATGGGTTTTGCTACAGCAGAGCAGCTTGTATCCCTGCATCCCCCTTTCCCCCACTTGCAGCGACCAGGCAGACAAGCAGCACACAGAGCAAATTTCATGTTTGATTTCATAATCTGTGGACAATGTCTATTGGATTATTATAGGCTGGATTGGACAATGTCTATTGGATTATTATAGGCTGGATTGAGTCTGATTAGACAGATGCAGAACATGCACACCTCTGCCTTTGCCTCTCTGCAAGGCAACTGGAAGGAAAGAAAAAGGAGTCTCATGGAGCAGCTCCCAACTCCTGCTCCCATGAAAGGATGCTCAAATATCCAAAGCCCGGATCCAAAAGGAACAGGCCAGCCCCCCATCTTGTTAATACTCTGCAAGGCTGGAAGCACATCAGGGAAGCAGTTCACAGACCACAGCACTGCTCCAGAATATTTTTACCATCTGAAGTGAAAGATTAACAGCAATGACCTGAAAACCCCAAACCCCCCCATTTTTTAGTCCTTGCAGTCCTGCCAAGCAACTCTGCAACACCACCATGGCTTAAAGACCAACTGCATCCCTCTCCTGGCTGCCACCACAGCAAGAGAAACCAGGGACTGCAGGTATGGAGGAAAGGGGTGAGGCTGAAGATAAACTTGGAACACTCCCAGCAGCACAGCGGGGTCAGCACAACCCAACAAAGCTCCAAGATGGGGAGAAATCCGCACTGTTATGGAAGAAATCAAGCCAGAGCTCCAGGAGAAAGCCCAGCACCAGCTCACCCACTGCCCACCTCAGCAGCAACTCTGATGCAGGAGGCATTAATGCTTATCAATTAAAAGTATTAAATAAGCTCAGATAACCCTGGGCAGCTTCATCCACCCCTGGAAGCCCCACAGGGGGGGCCCCAGGAGCATCCTGGCTCCCCAAAGCTCTCAGGAAGAGTTCAGCTCTCCCAGAAGTTTCACAGCACCAAGATGGAAGTTCTGTGGAATATGGAGATGATTCATTTCCATATATTATCTCAACCTTTCAGGATTTAAATTACAATATAAAAATAAATCATCTCAAAAGGGCAGGAGCTTCTGTAACGTTCAGACATTAATTACAGGGGACTGAACTCATCATCTGATATTTAATGCACTTTTAGTCCTCTTAGAATAACCCTCAAAGCAGAAATCCCTGAGATAAGCATCCATAAAGATTTCCTTAAGTGTTTCTAATGGGGTACAGCTGAGATTGGCTCCAGACCCTGAAACACTCAATATATATTTTCTTTAAATCAGCAACACGGAATAAAATCTCAGTTCACCAACATCCTTCAGGGATGAGTGGGAAGGCGAAGAGCAGCACTGGCTGGGTTCCCCACCTGACTGATATTTAAAACTGATGTGTTTCTGCCCCAAAACCATAGTTTATTGGAGGGGAATTGACTCAGAGGGATGCTGCGGGCTTGTGCAAGGGGGAGGCCAGGCTACTTGATAGGCACCATGGCAGCTTCTGACCCCACTAAAAATCACTAAAATAAATTACTATTTTCAGAAGCCACATCCCTGGCCGCCTTCAGGCTGTGAAAAAGCTCATTTTTAGCTCTGTGGGTTTTACTGGCACATTTGCGGGGTTGGAGACGCCCCGGCAGATGGTGCCTCGGGTGCACTCACGAAGGCCGGGCTCGGCTCCGGCTGCCCCGGGGCACTCTCCACCCATATGCCCACGGGGGCCGCGGTCTGGTTCCTCTCGCCCAGCACCGTCCCGCTCCGCCGCGGGGGTCTCGCCGGGGGCCCCCCCGGGGGCTCCCCGGCCCTTCGGCACCGCTCCTTCGAGGGGGGCATCATCCCGGCACCTGGGCAAGGGAAGGGGGAAGCGGAGGTGAGGGTGGAACAACCCGGGCACCCCAACCTGCCCCCTGCCCCATCCCCTCAGCCGCGGGGCACCTCCAGTGCCCCCCACAGCCCTGCAGCCCC